GAACTAAATGTAAAGGGGGTGCAATGTGAGAGTGTAAGGTATACATCAGGGGTCGGCAAAAGTAAAACTGTGGCTGTGTTGGTGAGCGCAAGAGAACTGCTCCGCATGAGCAGCCCGTTAGGAAATATAAAATATTTTGTATATGTACATAAGTATATGTGACGCTGATTAACTAAAAAACTTTCATAACCCCAAAGAAAAACATCGGGTTAAGTATGCAAGAACAAACGTTAACTCTTCTCCGTTTTGTGTAAAAATTTCATAGATGTACCATTTACCAGTAGCTCACTTGAACAAAATATGTATTAATTTTTTACATATGGACGTTCACTTCCCTGGCTGCGGTAATGCAGGGGACGCAGGAACTCCTGTGACAGAACACTCTAGTACCCACAGGCAAGGCAGTCCAGTGGAGGAAATCATCACTGCAGATAAAGTAGCTTGGGCTCTGATAGCCCTTCCTTCCAATCCTACAAATTTCCGGGTCCAGATGTAATCTTTCCAGCTATGCTACAACGAGCAAGCGCCATACAGTGGGACGTCCCGGTACTAAGTGTGGCCATAAATAGAAGGAATTGAGCTAGAGCAATAAAATTTTGCACACGTCATTTTTAAGACCATATTACACTTGATATCAAAAATCCTCAAAATCGGACAATTGACACGCCCACCCACCGTACAAAATATACGAAAAAAAAAATTATGACAGCATAACACATAAAGATATTTCGACTAAATTGTGTACACATTTTTAAGAGACTTGCTTACTGTGATGCTCTAACCAAATTGGACTATAGGTACTTTAATTTTGATTTAAAATTAGCAATGCATTTAAGAATAATACATTTTTTCATGTCTTTTGTTTACATTTTCTTTTAAAATAAAATAAGTTAGAAGGGAACTCAGGTACATTTAAAATATATTAAAACACCATTATTTCATTATTGCAGTATTAGCGAAATCTCATAATACATAAACTAAATTAAATCTTCATCGCTCAAATCACTACTACAGCCAATTTCTTCTTCTATCGGTACAAGAAACTCCGTTGTGTACAGAAGAACGATTCTTAAAAATTCGTGGGAAAATTTTCCAATACGGAACCCGGCTTTAAAAAAAACAGAAATGAGGGGTTTAGAGCGGCTTTTTGTGATTGTAAATCTGAAAACCCCACCCTCCGGAGGCTTATAGTTTTTATGAAAATTGAATTTTCAGTTGCAAAAAATGTCAACTTCAACCTCACTTTTTGCTTTGTAAACCGATTGTACTACAATGTCGGTGCTACCACACAACAAAAAATTCCCAAAAAAAGCACTGAAAACAAGAAACAATAAAAACGGGCATTGTAATTAACTTTTTTTTTTTAATTAAATATCGATGAATTGATAAAAAAAAGTGATTCAGTCTAACATCGAGAGATTTTGTAATAAAAATGTTAACTTAGTTATTTATCGACGAAGTATTGATTTTTATGGGAAAAGCGGCGCAGGCGAAAATTTTTAATAATAAATCGTGCGAAAATGCCCAAAAAAAGCACTGAAAACGAGAAACAATAAAAACGGGCATTGTAATTAACTTCTTTTTTTTAAATTAAATATCGATGTATTGATAAAAAAAGTGATTCAGTCTAAAATCGAGAGATTTTGTAATAAAAATGGTAACTTAGTTATTTATTGAAGTATTGATTTTTATGGGAAAAGCGGCGCAGGCGAAAATTTTTAATAATAAATCGTGCGAAAATGCCCAAAAAAAGCACTGAAAACGAGAAACAATAAAAACGGGCATTGTAATTAACTTCTTTTTTTTAAATTAAATATCGATGTATTGATAAAAAAAGTGATTCAGTCTAAAATCGAGAGATTTTGTAATAAAAATGGTAACTTAGTTATTTATTGAAGTATTGATTTTTATGGGAAAAGCGGCGCAGGCGAAAATTTTTAATAATAAATCGTGCGAAAATGCCCAAAAAAAGCACTGAAAACGAGAAACAATAAAAACGGGCATTGTAATTAACTTCTTTTTTTTAAATTAAATATCGATGTATTGATAAAAAAAGTGATTCAGTCTAAAATCGAGAGATTTTGTAATAAAAATGGTAACTTAGTTATTTATTGAAGTATTGATTTTTATGGGAAAAGCGGCGCAGGCGAAAATTTTTAATAATAAATCGTGCGAAAATGCCCAAAAAAAGCACTGAAAACGAGAAACAATAAAAACGGGCATTGTAATTAACTTCTTTTTTTTCAATTAAATATCGATTTATTGATAAAAAAAAGTGATTCAGTCTAAAATCGAGAGATTTTGTAATAAAAATGTTAACTTAGTTATTTATCGAAGTATTGATTTTTATGGGAAAAGCGTCGCAGGCGAAAATTGTTAATAATAAATCTGGCGAAAATGCCCCAAAAAAGCACTGAAAACGAGAAACAATAAAAACGGGCATTGTAATTAACTTTTTTTTTAAATTAAATATCGTTTTATTGAAAAAAAAGTGATTCAGTCTAAAATCGAGAGATTTTGTAATAAAAATGTTAACTTAGTTATTTATCCAAGTATTGATTTTTATGGGAAAAGTGGCGCAGGCGAAAATAGTTAATAATAAATCGTGCGAAAATGCCCAAAAAAGCACTGAAAACGAGAAACAATAAAAACGGGCATTGTAATTAACTTTTTTTTTAAATTAAATATCGTTTTATTGATAAAAAAGTGATTCAGTCTAAAATCGAGAGATTTTGTAATAAAAATGTTAACTTAGTTATTTATCGAAGTATTGATTTTTATGGGAAAAGCGTCGCAGGCGAAAATTGTTAATAATAAATCTGGCGAAAATGCCCAAAAAAAGCACTGAAAACGAGAAACAATAAAAACGGGCATTGTAATTAACTTTTTTTTTTAATTAAATATCGATTTATTGATAAAAAAAAAGTGATTCAGTCTACTGTACATATACAAAATATTTTATATTTCCTAACGGGCTGCTCATGTGGAGTTCTCTTGCGCTCACCAACACAGCCACAGTTTTACTTTTGCCGACCCCTGATGTATACCTTACACTCTCACATGACACCCCCTTTACATTTAGTTCATAAAAAGGACCCAATGATTGGAGACCTTGTGGAGATTACAGAAGACTTAATTGCATTACTATTCCTGATCGTTATCCGTTACCTCACATTCACGATTTGACTATTGATTTATAGAACAATCAAATATTTTCAAAAATTGATCTTGTTCGTGCACATCATCAAATACTGATGGCTGAAGAAGATATGCATAAAACAGCAATTACTACACCGTTTGGAATGTTTGAGTTCGTACGGATGCCTTTGGGACCACGAAATAGTGCACAAACATTTCAACGTTTCATTAACGAAGTATTTTTGACGATATTCTTGTTGCAAGTGATAATGAAGATCAACATATTGAGCATTTAAAATCTGTATTTGAAAGACTTGGAAAGTATAGTTTGAATATTAAACCTAGTAAATGCATTAGATTTTCTTAGTTATGAAATTTCAAACGAAGGAATCAGACCTTGATTCATTTTGGAACGAATTTCCGTCATCCCTTGTCAAGTTTGGTTTGCAGACAAACCGGTTTCAGCATTATGCCATTGTGCCATCTTCAGTGTCATCAGACCTTCTTTCGAACGATTTGAAGCAATAGTAAATTTTGAAAATCCACTTTCAATAAATAAATTACAAAAGTTTTTAGGTATGGTTAATTATTACCATAGATACGTTAAAATGTTAGCAGCAGAACTTAGTCCTCTGCACGAGATGTTAACATTAGTAACCAAAAATAAACTTAGACAATTAAATTGGACAGAAAATAAAACTATGGCTTTTGAAAATGTGAAGGAACTTTTTACACAGAAAACTTTACTCACTCATTTTGATAAAAATGGTAAATTATCATTTGCTGTCCATGCGTCGAATATAGCAGTCGGTGCGGTTTTGCAACAAATGAGTCACACTTACCTTGTCTTGCTCCGTCCATCGCATTTCTTTATCTTCCCGAGCACATCAACTAGCCGGGCAGAGGCACCTTCCCCATTAAGGGTCCGGATATTCCAGGTGCGCACCCTCAAATCATAATCCTTTATACGTTTGCCGTGGTCGTCATCAAAAAAAGGGGGTATCATCCGAAGCTTTCTGAACTTTTTCATTGGGAGGGGTTTTAACATGGCGGGACCCAAACTCGCTTCCAAACGGGTGTTTGGTTTCTACCCAGAGGATACGTGGATATAAATATGCGGACGTTGTGAGCTGCGATTTGAACCGTACGCACGCAAGGATCACTTCTGGCCACTCCCAGATGAAAGACAGTCTAAAGTTTTCCACTTCTGCGCACGGAACCATCCTGTATTTGAAACTGGTTCAGAGAAAAAAGTTTGTGAAAGCGGACTCATCAGCATTTTTTCGCATCACAAGCACCAGTATTTTACACTTTTCTTTAACTAAAGAATATTTATTTAATAATTTTACCTAAATTGTGTGTTTAAAGTGGCTGACAATAATTTTGGTTTTCGATGTTTTCTTTGCTTTGCTTTTCCTTCGTTTCCAGCGAAACAAGATGGCGTAGAACCCGCTAAAAAATCGACTTTTTCACTCTTGTTCTTGGGTGATCTTGTGTCGTTCGTTCATGCATTGGAAACGACGGGCCACTGCTGTTAAATTATTTTAACACGTACTCTTGTGTAGATTTCGTCGACGACACGGCAATCCCGCGACTAGCCAAAAATGTGGTAGCTGTGGCAGATTAGATCTATTTCCATTTTTCTAGCGATAGATAAGATTCTTCTTCGTTTATGTCAAACTCAAACAAATTCATGCTGTCGCTGCCGTGGTCACAAAATTCATTCCAAAATTTTTTCTGCGTGAGATTTTGATTTGACGCACGCAAGCCAATTTCGGGTAATGCAGAAAAATAAATTAGACGGCATGAGTTTAGCTTTGACTGTTAGTAAAAAGTAATATTTTTGTATTTTTTAATTTCAGTTAAAGGATATAAATCAATGTCATTACGGTGATGTGGTTGACGAGCGACATATTCTTCTTTTGTGTGGATATCCATTGTGTGGAAAACAAATGGAAAAGTAAGTCTTAATAAACAATATTCAAACTTTGGGGATAATAATATGTTCTTTTTAGCGTGCCTACAAAAAAATATCAAATATCAGTAACCAAAAATAAGGTATACGACATAACAGATCGTAAAAAGTTTTGCAGTTCCTATTGCTTCAAGGCATCGGAGTTCATTAAATCACAGATGTTAGTTAGTCCTCTTTGGTTGAGACAAAATGAAATAATTCCACAGTTTAAGTTGTTGGACGAGAAAAGCGATTAAACTTTAAGCATTTATGTATTCATATGGGTTAAATTTTTGTATTATAAATTTTATTGTTCCTAAAATATTTTAAGTAATTTACTAAATTTTCACTGTATTTTATGATTACTAATCGCCTAAAATAAGAGCCAATCGGTAAGTAAATAACAGCATGAATGCAGAATATGAACCGTTGAACTAGAGGAAACGAAAAGTGGGCGTGGCCAGAATTTATCGCATTTTCGTAGATTTCACGAAAATCGGACTACGATGGATTCAGTGCTGGCCCGTTAAAAATTGAAATGGGGGCCGGGAGGTCTTTTCGCATGCACCTCCACCCGCCAACCCTGACAATTGAACCACTACGGCTAAGCTTGTAGAGCCACAGGATAGGGTTGCCAACATTTACTAAGTTATTTATATCTATCTGACGGTATTTTTTTGTTGTAATGTTATTAATAAGACGTCTAATAAATGCATGGCTTTCAGTTGTAGAAGAATCAAAGTCAGTAAAGTCAAGTATTTTTTGTATAATTGCTGCATTTTAATTGCTCAACTTCTTTTGACCAGAGCAACTCTCAAAGATTTCTAGAAGTAAAAAGTTACGTATTGGCACAGCAGAAATGTAAAATTTTCCCTCCATAATAAAAAGTTTTTTTCACCATGGAAATTTTCTACTAATTGACATGAAATTACTATCTCAACGATCGGAGAGCTGCCACTGCCCAGCTGCCTTTGTCAACTGATAAAGAGAAAATTTGGAAAGATCAAACAAAAATTTTGAGATTTCTCGTTGTCAATACGAACGCCATAATTTTCACCTAGCTCGCGGGACTACGCACAGTTTTGACAGCTTGTAAACATGTATAGACATAAGGTTCTTTGGCGGTAAAGAGTCAAAATCAAAACGGAGTCTAGAAACTTTAATCAAATCAAAAAAAAAAAATAAATCAAATTTATTTGCGAATATTAGTTTATTCTATTTATTGAAATGCAACCACACGCAAAAGCTTGTGTTAATTATATTGATAAGAGAACCTGGCAGCTCGCAAGTTGCCTAAATTCTTAAGTAACATCAAATCCACAAATTAATACATTGCTTGTATTTCCATCAATATCGCCATGTATAAATTTTAACAACACAAAAATAGAGCTTTCGCACGAGTGTTTGGTTTTTCAACACCATTTATAAGTACCAGGTTGACTGAGCTTTGCCCGGAATGTATATACTTTTTAAAGTTTTCAGGATTTGGATAGCTTTAAAAAAATATTTTGGAAAAAAATGGATTTCGATATCTATTAAGTAACTTTCTTATTACTCCAAAATTTAGGTGGAAACCCTATTCCGTAATACGCTGGATTGGAATGTACATACCTTGAGCATATATGTACTGTATATACATAAAAAAATGCTGATTGAAATTAACAAAAAAAAAATTTATTACATAGGCAGCCCTGATGGAAAATATTTTCTGACCAAAGATCTCAACAAACCCGTTCATTTGATATACATATTGCGATGTTTTAGATAAATTGTGTAAAATCGAATATATGTGGCAACCTTATACTATTATCCGGAGTGAAAGCATTTTGTATATAGGGAAAACATTGTTTAAGAACCTTCTCTAGGTACCCATGAACTTTATTTTAATATTTAATTTCAATTTTAATTTAATAAGTAATATTTAAACTTTTTCTAAACAAAAAATTAAATAAATGTGCGATTGAAAATAGATGGCAACCCTATTAAAATATTTTGAATTAGGGATTTTAAAAATACCTTGATATTATGATGTTTTAATTAATTTATAACTTATTTCGGAAGGGTCTTCTCGGAGATAGTGCCTATTTCGATAACCCTAAAATCCAAAATATTATCTGGGTACAAAATTTCATCAAAATCGTTAGAGCCATTTCCGAGGATGCTATGGATATATATATATATATATATATATATATAAGAATTGCTCGTTTAATGTAATAAGATTATAAATTTGATTTTAATAAAATCACGATTTGTCTAATGCTTAAATTTATTTATCTAATCGTCGTTTAAAGTACAAAACCGCGTATCGTCATTCTGCAAAACCGCGTAACTGACATTGGTTGCCAAAAATTGGAATTGTTCACACAAGCTCTTGGCTCAATCCTCATCCATTCGTCCTGAAATATACTAGCCAGAAGTGCGATTTCTCTATAAAAAAACCGCGTAACTGACATTGGCTGCCAAAAATTGGATTTGCTCACACAAGCTCTTGGCTCAATCCTTATCCATTCGTTCTGAAATATACTAGCCAGAAGCGCGATTTCTTTATAAAAAAGAGAACCATTTTGAAATATGGGTGTTTTTACACTCTAGAAAATGATTTCTAAAACTTCACATACGCGGTTCTGCATTTTGCCGATACGCGGTTTTGCATTTTGTTACGCGGTTTTGCACTTTAAACGACGTAATAATAATGCAGCACACAACCCAAATCTGAGAAAAAGTCTGAGGAAGGCCATTAAATAACAGCACAGAACCCAGTGCCTTCCTCAAGGGTGTATAAAGCTACTGTAGGATAATTAAACTGTTTTTACACTTGTTTAAATTCTTGAAGTTAAATTTATTGTTCTATGAATTCGTTTGGCATTAGAAAAGACAATTTTCTGATAATTAATAAACTAGCTTTCAAACAAGAAAGAAATAAATTTTTTTAATTGAATATTATAAATGCATTGTAAGCCGTATAAACTTATAATTGTGTAAACCTTATAAATGAACTGTCAAAATTTGTATGGAAACTCGTTTACACATTTCTGATAAATTTATCCAGCGATTTCACTGAATAAACTTGATAAACTGAAGACAATGCAACTCTGTCGCAACTCTAGCTATGTTTTCTTAGGCAATAATCGGGATCCGCATACAAATTTTGCACGCAAATTCAACAACGATATGATCCTGATAGAGATCTGGTTCAATTATTATCCCGTCTGTTTGTTTTGTTTCACTGATAATTCGCAAAGTTTGGTAGCCGTGACAAATGAATTCATACACAAACAGACATTCTGAGGAAGGCCATTAAATAAGAGCACAGAACCCAGTGCCTTCCTCAAGC